CCCCCTCGGTGCCATCCCCCTAGGTGCCACCCCTCTCAGTGCATCCCCCCATTGGCGCACCCTTCCTATTCTTTTCAGACTCCAGGAACCCCTACCCCCCACCCCAGTCTCCACTGTTCTGGGTGGGTCCTCACAGTACCTGGCACACACTTCAATCACAAGGCCTGGGACAGTAAATGACATCTCTGTCTGTCCCAGCCAGAACACGGCCTGGTCTGACTTCTCACTGTGGCTCCGGCATCCAGCGTGGAGCCAGTAACTAACAAAAGTGCCAGAAACTACTGAATGAATAAATGGAAAACTCACCAAGCCCTGAAACCAACTGCGACCAGAACTCACTTCCAAAATCACTGAGCTCAGACCCTTCCCCTTCTACCCCGGGTACCTCTTCTGCCCAGGTGCCTAGCCTCCCTCTCTCCTTGCCCTCCCCACCCCCACACACACCCAGTCTGCCAATGGGTGGCCTGCTGAGCCCACTTGGCCTGCTGAAATATTTTCCTTGGCCCACAGAGTGATTTTTAAAATTCTGAACTAGTTGCTAACACTTTGAATTGGGAGGTTGTACCTAACAGGCTTAGACGGCGAGGACTGCAGTGTCTCACCATGTGCTGTATCCCCAGGGCAGGGCACGTGTCCGTGGTGAATGAGTGGATGGGGGGATTTTCTGCTTCTCTGAAGAACTGGAAGACCTGGCAACACGGGGTCTTTGTTCCCACGTAACTTGGCCCAGGGGAACAGCCCCAACTTGGGGCATCCCCTTCCCCCTAGCCCCAGGCCCCATGGGCAGTCATTTGTGGTGGCCCTGCTCTGCCATCTCTCCTCATCAGGCTTGTCAATAATCTATGAAGGCCCAGCCCACATGCCAACCCCTCCCACAAATAACTCTTCCAGTCTCCCTCACTTACACACAGATACATCCTCTTTCTCTGTCCCTCCCAAGAACTCAGAGCATACCTTGCCTGGCACTAGCTATTTCTCTCTTGGTTTAAGGAATTGTGACCAATCAAGCAAGACCCAGTTCAGTAAAAGTCCCATCCACCTTACCACCATGTCTAATGTGTGCCAGGCACAGTGCTAGGCACAGGGGCTGAAGAGGGACATCTAGGTCCAGCTGGTAAGACCCGCGTCTGGCTGGAAAGGCAGCTGTTGTGGGCTGCAGGATCTCTCCCCCCACCCTCAGTGTCCCTCTGGCAGGCACTTACTTTCTTTGGGCACAAAGGGGATGAGGCGGCTTCTGATCTTCACCTGAGCAGGCTGGATCTGACACTTGCCAGGTGGTGCCCGCCTGCCAATGACACACAGGAGGTTATCAGTCTCACCCTGGGAACTCATCCTGAGGATGCCCCGTGCCATTGCCTTTCCCCTGCAGTGAGGCAGGCGTGAACAGCAATGATAGTAACAGGTGGCCATTTACCATGCACCTACTGTGTGGCCTGTGGCATCCCTGCCCACTCCATGCCCCCAGGATTCTAGGAGCTCCAGGGCATAAATCCCCTATAACGGCCCACTGGCTGCATGCTCAGCCTCTGCCAGAATAGCACCGGGGCTGGAGGCTTACCGTTTCCCAAGACACTTCTAGTCCAGAGCATGGACTCTGTCCTCAGGGTGTGAACAAATGCCAGTCTCTGTCCTCCCCCAGCCTGCCATCAGATTCCTGAAATGCAGCCTGATTCCTGCCCGCCACCCTCTCCCACCAGCTCTGCAGCCTTTGAGGCGGGTCTCTCTCAGACCCTCTGGTTCCTGGATTTCTGATGATGCAGAATCTGGGAGATTCCTCTGCCTGGAACCATCTAAAGGACGGGGCAGGGGTGAGGAAAGCAAGCCTTGGGCCTGGAGGCAGAGCTGAGGGATTTGGGGCCTTGGCATGTGGGGTTTGAGAGAGCAGGGAGACAAAAGAGTCAGAGGAGAGTGCCAGGGCTAGGAATTGGGTCTCCTTTGACATTTTTGAGGGCACAGTAGGAAATGGAATTCCGTTTTAATTAGTTTTTGACCGTCGATCTGTGATTCTTTGGGAATGACCCCATTCCAGGACAGACCCACGTGGGCCCACGACTTCAATAGGATTCCAGTGGAAAGGCCAAGGGGTGAATTAGCCACGTGACACGGAGTGGCCTCCAGACAGGCTTGGCCGAAGAGGGACACAAAAGAGGGACAAGGGTCTTTGTCCCCAGAGGCTGCAGAAACACAACCAGGCACACACGCTTCTCAAAGCTGCAGGAAAAGCGAGGTTTTTTCTTGCTCTGACCTCCAGAGAACATCCACACACTTTAGACAGACCCAGTGGGGCTTTTGTTCCTTAAGGAAATTGCATTAAAAGTCTTTGTTATGCAAAAGGGTAGGATGTCCACCCCAAAACGCCACAGTGGTTATGTGTGGGTAATAATAGATGACCTGACCCTACCTCCTCCACTCCCCATTTATTTCATTTTCCAAATGTTCTATAATGGGACCTCTGTGTAATACGTGTGGATGCAAAGAAACAGTTATTCCGAGCCAGGAGAATGAAGGGAGGAGAAGGGTCAGGGCAGGAGGGAGGAATCTCGCCCACTTCTGGCTCCTAACACAAGACTGCGAGCAAGAGAACTCCCTAAGTCTTGCTGGGTCCCTCCGTATGACATGGGGACAACAAGCCAATAGGGAAACGGTGTTGGAAAAACCAAAGATGATGGATCTAAGGCAACATCTGGCATGAATTAGGCACTCGTTTGGTATATGTAACATTTCCTCAGAGAAGCATTCTTTTCTGAAAATTGGCAATAACCTAAAATTCCGAGGAATAAGTTATAGTGACTCAGCAGAAAATCACACAGCCATTAGAAATGGTTTTTTTTGAGGGTGATGTTTGCAACGTTTAGATAAAATGGGCATACATGAAGGAAAAAGAACCAAGTCTGCGTGTGATCCAAATACCACCATATAAATCCTGGCACTGCATAGATAACGATGGTCAGGACCTCATGGAAATGAGAAGGAAGGGATGGAAGGAGGAAGTGATTATGTTTTATTTGATAAAAAGTCAAGTCAATAATTTACGTGTGCTTTTAAAACAAACAAGCAAAAAAAAAAGTCTGTAAACAAGGAAAGTGAGAAGCTGCCACAAACAGGGCAAGCTAAGGAGATGCAACCACTAAAGGTAACATGGGATCCTGGGACAGGAAAAGGGCATTGGAGAACAACTAGAAACATCCTTTGAAAAAGAGTGTGGAGTCCAGGTGTGGGAGCTCACACCGGTAATCCCAGCACTTTGGGAGGCTGAGGTGGGCCGATCACTTGAGGTCAGGAGTTCAAGGCCAGCCTGGCCAACATGGCGAAACCCCAGCTCTACTAAAAATACAAAAATTAGCCAGGCGTGGTGGCAGGCATCTGTAGTCCCAGCTACTCGGGAGGCTGAGGCAGGAGAATCACTTGAACCTGGGAGGCGGAGGTTGCAATATGCTGGGATTACAGGTGTGAGACACTGAGCCCAGTGCAAAATATTTTAAGCACAATAAGTATTTTAGAATTTTTCTTTTTGTAAAAGTAATTAATTTTTTTAGAGACAAGGTCTCCCTCTGTTGCCCAGGCTGGACTTGAGCTCCTCCCATCTGCCTCCCAAGAACATGAAACACGCCAGCTTGTTTCAGGATTTCCCAAACGTGGCGTGTCTCAAAGTTCAGGATAAGTAAACACAATGGGGACTCCTAAGGTCTGCCAAATATGTGGATTCTTGGAGTGCAACCTCAGGCCTTGTGTTAGAGATAAGCACAAGCCATGTCCGCACCGGGTGTTGAAGGGACGTTCGGACTCCTATGGAAACCAGCAGAGATGTGAAAATCTAAGGGCTGAGAGGCAGCTTAGAAAGCTGATCACTCATTTATTCATCAAGCATTCCTGGGTCCCTGCTCCATGCCATTTGCAGTGTCTTGGCGGCCTCTGCAGACTGAAGAGATACAGGCTTGGCCCTGAGACTCCCAGAGCAGCTGGGAGACAGTCAGTCGTGTAGCCCAGAGACTACAAGTCTGAGTGAGGAGAGCTGAGGAAGGGCTGGACAGGGGCCTGGAGGGCAAAGTGGGTTGGGGAAGGTACTTGAAGAGGGTGAGGTTAAGGCACACAGCCGAGGGGTTAAGGCAGGGCTCTGGAGCCAGCGGCCTGGGCCCAACCATGGCTCTGGGCCCGGGGCCCGTGACTTTGTATCTTTGTGCTCATTTCCGCCACTGTAAAATGAGCGGCTGAGAGTTTCATAAGCTGCACACGGAAGGAGTTGGGACATGGCCTGGCGTGGCACTTCTGGCCTTACAGTTAGAAGGGAAGCCGGGGAGATGGAGCCGGCGAAGGGAACCCCAGTGTATTTTCCCCAGTGGAAGACAGACAACAGGAGGATAGACAGGCATGGGGCGGGGACACACAGGGATTAGGGTGTCATCTGGGAGGCATCGCAGAGGCAAATTGGGGGCTGGGTTGTGGGAATGCAGGGGCAGCCCAGGAAGTGAGGGATGAGGGGCCTGCTAGACAGGAGGAAGACGCAGGGAGGGCGGGCCAGGCAAGAAAGCCGAGTGAAGCCTCCGCCCTCGGCCCCAGTCGCCTCTCCAGCTCCCTCCTATCCTAACAGACCTGTGCTTTGAGGCGTGCAGACCTGGGTCTGAATCCTGGGTCTGCCCCTTGCCGGAGGAACTGAGGCGAATCACATCCCTCTCTGGGCCTCAGGGTTCTTGTCTGAAAATGGGGATTAATACTGCCCACCTGAGGGCAAGGTGGAGGGGACAAGCCAATGGAGCTAGGAGGCCTGACAGACAGCAGGAGCTCCCTGTCCTGGAGGCCGGGACTCACCTGGACGGGTCAATTATTTTGTAGACAACCCCACGTGGAGCTGTGGCACTCGGCTCCCCTGTCGACATGAAGTACAGCTCCCCTTTGAACAGAACGAAGTGACCAGTGAGACCCCCACCTGTAATACTGTCCCAGCCAGCCCCGCCTCACTACCCCGCTCCCCGCAGGCTTGGAAATCGACCCCAACCCCAGCTAGCCATCATGTGAGGCATCCCAGCTCAGTCTAGCTGTCCAGTCCCCAGAAAGGGAAACTGAGGCTAGGTGAGGTGTTGGGTTGTGCCCAAGGGCCTCTGGAGCCTGGTCTCCCGGGTGTCAGGCGCTCTGCCTGGACCCAGCCAGGCTCAGACCTCCACTCTTGCCTTTTCCCGGTGACCCAGCACCACCCCTGTCACCTACCTGGGTTTCATGCCCAGACCCACACATCTCTGGGCACACACAAGGGGGCTACAGCCCAGCTCCCCAACTGACTGCTTCTGGGGGACCCGAAGGCACGTGTGGCTCTCTGAGCCTCAGCTTCCTCATCTCTAAAATGGGCAGGCCTCACTGGGCTGTTATAAGGATTGAAGAGCGCAGAGCGTGGGCCTAATCAGCATTAGCTAGCTATGATTGCGGTCGTCATCTGGGATTTGGGCCCTGCCAGGTCCTCGAGGCCAGGGTGTCTCTCTACTGACAGCGAGGACCTCCCAGGCAGGAGCAGAGTACATGGCTGGGAGTGTAGGTCCTAGCCCCTCTGCTTGGCCCCCTGTGATCTCCAGCAGCTGTGTGATGGCCCCATTCTGAGCCTCAACTTCTCCCCGTTTCAGAGCTGCGCTGAAAATGTAACCGTTAGAGTTCTGAGTCCCCAGACAGCTGAGGACTGTCTCAGGGAATGTAGGTTCTCCCTGCTCCTCCCACTCCAATCCTCCCTCCCAACCCCTGCTGCCAGGGGTATCTATGTCCTGAAAACAGGCTGCATTATTCCTACATCACAGCTGAGAAAAAAAAAAAAAAAAAAAAGAGGCTCAGAGAAGTCAAGTGACTTGTCCTAAGTCACACAGCTAGTGAATGGTTAAGCCAGGACCAGAACTCAGGAAAGTCTGCTGCTCCAGCCCCACACCAATATCGGATGCGTGGTGGCTGGGAGCCCAGACACGAGCCACACATGATTCATCCTGAGGGTTCAGCCATGCTAATACCTCTGTCCTTGTAAAAGGATAGCAGAGAGCACAGCTGGGCTGGGAGTAGGGAGGGAGGTTTCCCCGCAGAGAGGCTGAGACAGACAGCTTGGTAACAGGTTGGAGAAAAGCATATCCCTGGGGACAGGTGCAGTCAGGGAGGGCTGCATGGGGGTGGGGTCTGAGAAGCAACGCACAGGAAACTCGGGAAATGCAAAGGGAAGGCACTTGAGGGTTAACCTGTGACACCTGGGTAGACCCAGCTGTGATGGGGCTGGGGGATGAGGCAAGCAGTACACTGAGTGGTCAAAGGCCCCGACCCCCAAACCCAGGGGCACCAGCCCCACTGGGGAGGTCGGGAGAGGGGCTGTAGGCCCACATGGTGATGATGCAGCCTGCAGCAGTGGGAGTCCCCGGGTGAGACGTCCCTGTTGGGAAGTCCATGGGCACAGCCCTAAATTGCTCAGACAGCCTTGGGCCGTCCATTTACCTCTGGGCCTCTTTCTGGAGTGAGCCACCAGGAGCAGCCCTGGTCTCCTCTGTTCCAACCCCCTGAGGAACTCCCTGGTTCATCTTGCCAACCAACCTTAAGGCCCCCCTCTGGGAGGTGTCCAGGGGCCAGGTGGGGCATGGTGCCCCTCCTCCATAACCAGGCGTTCATAGTCAGCCACAGTTTCCCCATTGGTAAAATGACAAGGCTGGACCAGGCAGACTGCAAGACCCTTTCCAGCTATGATCTGCTGGGAGCTGTAGCCCCCAACCCTCTGCACACACAGGGAGCCCCCGCGGGTGCTGCCAAGCCCGCCCAGGGCTGCTGTTGAGACTCAGAAAACCATGCTTCAAAATGAAGGCCTCAGAACTGCCTCCAAAGCAAAAGTTTTTCTCTGACCTTCTCCTGTCCTCCTGTCTCTCAGTCCTGTTCTCCCCTGAGGTGCCATAGAAACTAGAATCTCTCTTTCCCACGGCAGATAATAGAAACCAGCACATATTTCCCCCAAAGCCAGTCATAGAACCTAAAAATATTATTGTAACTCTCCCCGAACCTTTCTGTATAAAACTGGCCATAAAGAAATTATCTGAGATCAGGCATGGTGGCTCATGCCTGTAATCCCAGCACTTTGGAAGGCCAAGGTGTGCAGATCACTTGAGGTCAGCAGTTCAAGAACAGCCTGGCCAACATGGCCCGAAACCCCATCTCTACTAAAAATATGAAAATTAGCCAGGCATGGTGGTGCACACCTGTAGTCCTAGCTACTCAGGAGGCTGAGGTATGAGAATCGCTTGAACCTGGGAGGCAGAGGCTGCAGCGAACCAAGATCACACCACTGCACTCCAGCCTAGGCGATAGATCGAGACCCTGTCTCAAAAACAAACAAACAAACAAAACCCCCACAACAACAACAACAGCAACAACAAAGAAATTATCTGGGTCAGATATGGTGGCTCATGCCTGTAATCCCAGCACTTTGAGGCCGAGGCAGGGGATCACTTGAGCCCAGGAGTTCCACATCTGCCTAGGCAACACAGCAAGACCCCATCTCTACAGACTATTTAAAAAATAGCCAGGCATAGTTACATGAGCCTGTAGTGCCAGCTACTTGGGAGGCTGAGGCAGAAGGATTGCCCAGGAGTCTGAGGATGCAGTGAGCCATGATGGCGCCACCGCATTCCTGCCTGGATGACAGAGCAAGACTCTGCCTCTAAAATAAAGGAGGAGGAGATGATCTGACCTGTTTGACCCATTTGCAGGTCATCAGACTCCCACTCCAGAGAGAGCCCCATAGCCAGAAGGAAGGAATGCAAGCGCAGAGAGGCCAAGAAGAATCCAGACACACAGGCTGTGCTGGCTCTCCCACTCAATCAGCATGAGCTCAGGCCCTTTTTGTCCGATCACATTTCTACACAGCTGCCCATACTTTGTTGCACCTGAGCATAAAAATGGACAATTTCTCGGCCGGGTGTGGTGGCTCACACCCGTAATCCCAGCACTTTGGGGTCACCTGAGGTCAGAAATTCGAGACCAGGCTAGCCAACATGGTGAAACTCCGTCTCTATTAAAAAAATACAAAAATTAGCCAGGTGTGGTGGCGCGCGCCAGTAATCCCAGCTACTCGGGAGGCTGAGGTATGAGAATCGCTTGAACCTGGGAGGTGGAGGCTGCAGGTTGCAGTGAGCCGAGATTGCACCACTTCACTCCAGCCTGGGCAACAAGAGCGAAGCTCTGTCTTGGGGGTGGGGCGGGGGGGGGTGGGAAGTTCCATGAACTTTCAGAGGGCAAAGGCGACGTTTTCCCTTGGTGGGACACTGAGCCACCTTCCTGGTCTCTGGGGTGTGAACTGTCCCTGGGGCACACTGGGCCAGCAGAGGTACTCATTTTGTAATCTGCAAGCGTTAGAACAATTAGAGAAGCAGCAGCAGGAGCCGGGAGCAGGAGAAAGTTGGTTTGCGTTGGACCCCAGGGCTCCGGGCTCCGTGCCGTCCAGAGGCTGCTGCCAGAACTGTCCCTGGGCCGCCAGTCTCACCGGTGCCTCCTTCTGGTTTTCCACACTCGGGTGTCAGTCAGAGGGCTGAGGAATGGCCTTTTGGAAACTGTACCTTCCTTCCAGGCCCTGCCTCAGTGGGGGAGGGGCACCCCTGCTTCTAAAACACATTAACCCCCTACTGACCAAAAGAAAGGGCTTTCAAGGGCCCAGAGGGCTTAGGAATGGCTGTGGGGGCTGGGGGCTGCCTTTTTGGAAATTCAGATTCTGACAGTTCAACAAAGGTTTCCCAGACTCAGCCCTCGGGGCTCTGGGCACTGAGCCGGGCAGGGGACACCCCTCCAAAGGCCCCTGGGCGGGCGTTGCCTAGCAACCCCAATAAGCATCCATTAGGGCTCACTGGGGGCCCCTGGGCTTTTGTCCAGGAACAATCCTCGGGCGAAGCACAAAGGCAGGAGGCTGGAGCAGAATCCAGTCTCCACTGGCCCCTCTTCCTCTCCCCTCCCACTCTGTCCCTCGTGTTGAAAACACAAGTGCCTAGATTCAGGATCCACTAACCGACAAGAAGGCTGTGTCCACCGGCTTTGAAATAATTATGTGGCTTCATTTAATGGCCCAAATCCATTTGCCATCAGGAACTCCAGGCCAGGGGAGGTCTCTGGGGTTCTCTGGAGGTCTCTGGAGGTCTCTGGAGGTCTCTGAGGCTCTCTTCCACCACCTGCCTGCATTTCCACCATTCCAGATCCTTCCTGGCCGGCTAACCGGCATGGATGCTTACCCGCGTTATTAGTCTAGAACTCACGGCAGCCTTACCCAGGGTGAGGTGGGGTAAGAGGAAGAAAGGGGCCACTACTTCCATTTTCCATAGGAACAAAGGGGAGCTCAGAGAGGTGAAGACGCCCGAGGAGGTGTCAGAGGCATATGAACCAGAGCAACTCCATCTTAAATAAGAGCTGGGTAAAATAAGGCTGAAACCTACTGGGTTGCATTCCCAGACAGTTAAGGCATTCTGTCACAAGATGAGACAGGAGGTCGGCACAAAACACAGACCTTGCTGATAAAACAGTTTGCAGTAAAGAAGCCGGCTAAAACCCACCATGACCAAGACGGCCACGAGAGTGACCTCTGGTCGTCCTCACTGCTACACACCCATGGGCACCGTGACAGTTTACAAATGCCATGGCAACGTCAGGAAGTGACCCTATATGGTCTAAAAAGGGGAGGCATGAATCATCCACCCCTTGTTTAGCATATCATCAAGAAATAACCATAAAAGTTGGCAACCAGCAGCCCTTGGGGCTGCTCTGTCTATGGAGTAGCCATTCTTCTATTCCTTTACTTTCACTTTACTCTATGGACTTACCCCCAATTCCTTCTTATGTGAGATCCAAGAACCCTCTCTTGGGCTCTAGATCGGGACCCCTCTTCTATAACAGAGGCACCTGCAAAGTCTGGAGCCCAGGGAACATCTTCCTCCCAGGTGGGAACTAGTTCAGGCCTGTGTGGTCCTTCCCCTACATCAGAGACCAGAAGGACCACAGGATGGAGGACCAGTCCCAGGCATGAGCAACCAGCAAGGAGAGGTCTCAGGAGTGCTCACCGGCCTCATCCTCCCCGAAGGAGATGATGTACGGGTAGTAGTTGTTGATGAGGCCTGGGAACTCACAGGTCTGGCCATGGCCCATGCAGATCTCACTGTAGTGCCACTGGCCTGTCCCTGGGTTCTCGTGGAGGGACATCAGACGCCTGCAATGGAAGATGAACTGTGAGGCCATGCCTGGCATGGCACCCAGGGGATCCTACCCACCCATCCATCCATCCATCCCACCCTCCCACCCTCCCTCCCTCTCTCCCTCCTTCCCTCCATCCTTCCACCATCCATCTACTCATCCATTCACCCACTGATCCATGCAAGGACCATACAAAATTCACAGAGCCCAGTGTAGAATGAGCATGCAGGGCCACTTGTTCAAAACATATTAAGAATTCAAGATGGTGACCTCAGAGCATGAGGTCAAGCGTGAACCTTTCTGAGCATGGGGCCCTGTGTGACTGCACATGTGGTACGTCCATGAAGCTGTCATTGTGTGCAACCTTCACCAAGCACCTACCAGAAACCCACAGGAATGAACAGGACCAGCTTGGTTACTGCCCCCTGAATGCAGTCCAGCCCACTAGATCCTGCAGAGGGAACAGCGCTTTCAAGAGTTCACCGGTTTCAGAACCTGCCAAGCGCTGGAGCTTCAACGTCTTTGGAATATGCTAACCTTGCTCCTTACTCCCATCGCTGATTGTCAATCACCTATTGATACTTCCAGGTCCTGCTTAGAGATGCCCCCTCCTCTGTGAAGCCCTCCCTGAAGGCCCCCATGCAGAGCTCCCCACACTGTGCACAGGCTCTCTGAGGTTGCAGTGCAGTGGACTGAAAGGGTCTGTCTCCCTGGCTCGGGTACTAGGGGTCCTCTTCATCTCTGTCATCCTGGTTCTTGCCTAACCCAGCAGAGGGGCTGGGGAAATACTGGCAAAATTAGTTCAATTTCTGCGGTCAGGAGACTTAGGCCCTCCTGGGAAGGATAGAAGGGAGAAAGGACAATCAGGGGTAAAAACAGAGGCTTCATCTACACCCATTTTCCAGATGAGAAAGCTGGGTCCCAGGTGAAGGGGTGGATCTGGGAGAGGAATCCAACTTCCAGGGGCCCAGGTCAGGTATCTGTCTCAGCTCCAGGCTGCAGACTGGACAAAAAGTCAGAATTCTCCCACCAGCTTCAGCCGTCTTCATGTCTTTACGCCCTCTCCGTAGGAACCCTATTCAGTTGCTGTCAGAGGAGGTTGCACGGAAATAATTAAGAAATACCAGGCTGGGCGCCGTGCCCTGAGTCTGTCATCCCAGCACTTTGGGAGGCCGAGGCAGGAGGATCGCTTGAGTCCAGGAGTTCAAGATCAGCTTGGGCAATAGAGCAAAACCTTGAGTCCAGGAGTTCAAGATTAGCTTGGGCAATAGAGCAAAACCTCATCTCTACAAAAAATGCAAAAATTAGCCAGGCGTGGTGGCACATGCCTATAATCCCAACTACTCAGGAGGCTGAGGTGTGAGGATTGCTTGAGCCTGGGAAGTGGAGGCTGCAGTGGGCTGAGACTGTGCCACTTCATTCCAGCCTGGGCGACAAAATGAGACCCTGTCTCAAAAAAAAAAAAAAAATCACTAAATATTAAACATCTTTCTTTCTTTCTTTCTTTCTTTCTTTCTTTCTTTCTTTCTTTCTTTCTTTCTTTCTCTTTCTTTCTTTCTTTCTTTCTTTCTTTCTTTCTTTCTTTCTTTCTTTCTCTTTCTTTCTTTCTTTTCTTTCTTTCTTTCTTCCTTCCTTCCTTTCTTTCTTTCTTTCTTCCTTTCTTTCTTTCTTTCTTCACTAGATTCTAAGTGCTATTTATGTATTAACTGATTCAGTCCTTAAAACAACCTAGGGGGCAAGCACTATGATCATCTCCATTTTGCAGATGAGGTAGCTGAAGATAAGGAAAGGTGAAGTAACTGGCTTAAGGTCACCCAGCCAGTAAGAGAGCCAGGGTTCAGACCAGGCTGTCTCAGCCTGCCGTTGGGCCTCTTTAGTCCTCAGCTTTCTTCTCTGTACAATGGGACAACAAGGTGGTCATGAGGCTCCACAAGCACCCTTGGGGACAGAGCCTGACTCACAGGAGGGTGTGATGTAGGTTTCCCTCCCCCATCAAACCTATTTGGGATGTGGTTCATCCTCCTCCCACACCAGGGTCTCAGCAGGTGGCACTGCCACCCTAGAGCACGGGGACAAGGCAGCAAGGCTCCAAGGCCACAAAAGCCCCACCTCCTCCTCTCCCCATTAGGAGGCCGGTGCGCAGCCATCCTCCTCTCGGGTCTTAGTTTCTCAACCTTTACGAGATCCCTGCAGTCCTGGCTGGGGTGGGATGGGGTAGGGCTCCAGGCCCCCATCAGCTGTTGCAGTGACAAGCTGTGGCTTCCCCAGGAGCAAGGTGGCCCTGAGTGTCCAGGAAATTATTCATATTCTGCCCTCCTGCCCATTAGAACTGCTGTCAGGCCCAGAGCCCATGGTTCTCACGAGGGAGAGGAGGACCACCGGACCTGCACTTAAGCAAGCCTCCAGTCTTTCATGCCATGAGTTGTGTGTCTATCACAGAGTTACTGAGGCCTGCAACAAAGGCTCACGATACATCTCAGGAGAAAAGGGGGTGGATGTGGGTGTCTGGCCCACACCTGGGGGCCCCTGTCAGAGCAGCGAGGCGCATGTGCAGGAACAGGTGCACACATACACTCCTCTTTACCAAGGAGCCAGTCCCAAGGAGCCAGTGGCAGCAGCCAGCGGCGTGAGGGCACTAGGTCACTTACCCGGTCATGAAATCCCCAAAAATGTAGAGGCCGTTCAGATTGGGGTACTCGCAGCCCCGGTACACGTAGCCCCCTGTGACCGACTTGCCAATGGTGTGAGGGTAGGCGAAAATCGGCAGCACATCATCTGCGGGGTGGGAGGGCGAAAAGCTGCGGTGAGCCCGCGGGGGACAGGTTCACCTGTCAGGAGAATTCCGGAGGGATTCCGCGGGGGCGGGGCGACCACGGAGGGAGGGGCGTGCCCACAGCAGGACTGGCGTGGTGGAAAGCGTGTCTGCAGGGGTGCCAGATGGGGATGGGGCGAGGAGAAACTCAAGAGCGCTGCTGGGAGGCCTCCAAGGCACAGGGAGGCTCCTGGTGGAGGCGAGGGCAGTCACCGAGAGAGGCTTTGGCTCACAGCCCGTGGAGTTGGGGTGGGGGCAAATCCAGGGTCAGGGGGTGCCTGGGGTGCGGGTGGTCCCCGAGTGAGGCCCTGCCGCACAGCCCATAGAGTGGAGCCGGGGACAGATCCAGGGTCAGGGATCTCCCGGGCGCGGTCTCCGAGGGAGGCCCTGCGGCACAGCACGTGGAGTGGGGTGGGGTGGGGGCGGATCCGAGGCCAGGGTCCCTGGGGCGCGGGCACTCACTGAGGGAGGAGTTGGCGCACAGGCTGCGGTCGTAGCACTCGAACCCCTCGCGCGCGCGCCAGCCGTAATTGCCGCCGCGCTCCACCAGGTCCACCTCCTCGAACTTGTTCTGGCCCACGTCGCCGCAGAAGAGGCGCCCGCGGCCCGCGCCCGACGCGGGGTCGCCGCGGTCGAAGGAGCAGCGCCACATGTTGCGCACGCCCAGGGCATAGACCTCGGGCTGCGCGGCGGGGTCGCCCACGAACGGGTTGTCGGGCGGGATGCCATAGGGCAGGCCGCGCTCCTTACGGTCCACGTCGATGCGCAGCACCTTGCCCAGCAGCGCCGACCTGCGGGCGGAGTGGGAGAGGGCGTGGCTCGGGGTCGCCCTGCGCCAGGGCGCACGGGCTCCGCGGGGCAGGTGCCGGGGCGCCGGCTGACCGCTGAGCCAGGTACAGGGTGAGCCTAGGCTGTGGGATCAGAGACCCTGGGATGCAGTTCCTCCTTAGCTACTTACAGCCGGGTAACCTCATTCATTCACTCAACATGCATCTTCCACCTTCCTGCGCGCCAGGTCTGTCCCATGCGTTGGACACAATACATCTATTTTGTCTTGTCCTCACAGCAGTCGTTTAGGTAGGCGGTTCCTAGTATGATCCCCACTTTACAGATGTGGCAGCGGAGCTCAGAAAGGTCAAATAACGTTGCTCAGTTGCCGCACCACTGGGATCCAGCCCAGACGGCCTGAGCCCAGAAACTCAAGCTCTTTACCACACACTCTGTGGAATGTGGGTGTCCTCAACTGTAATAGTAGAGTGGTCCCGCTCAGTCCACTCAGTCCTCCTGGACTGCGGTATAGGGTGAAAATTCCACTAGAAAAATGACTTGTATTTACAGTTTTCTTCTGGTACCTGGCACTGTGACCAGCACATAGTAGATGACCATTAAGTGTTTGCAGAGTCAGTGAATGAAAGATTGCAATCAAAGCCAAGTGCACCAGAGTGCGGGTTGGTAGGGGAGGGGGAGAGAGCAGAGGGGTGCAGCCCTAAGCTCCAAGCAGCTTAGGGGGATAGCTCATGACAAAAGTGGCGCGTGATGGGAAAAATCTGTAATGTGCTTAAAGACAGTGCAGAGAACATACCCTTTTCATCTGTGGTTTTTGATGCACCGACTTAATGCATCAGTTTCCCTTGCTGTTAGCACTTTGGTGTCCTCCCTCTGGTTTGCTTTTCAAAGCGGGGTTTGTGAAGCTGTATTCCATCATCCTCACATAGCATCAGCACCCACACCTTTCCCTTATCAGTAGGGACAGCAAACAAGTGTCCTCTTTCATGGTGGTGACATGCTCCCACCCAATATATGCCTTGTGATCAAGCCCCTGTTGCTGGCCTTCCACTTTCCCCCGTAAATTCCTCTCGTACACTCCAGCCTGCTGAACACCATCCAGATCACACCCGGGAGCCCACGCACCACACACCAGGATTCGATATCTAAGTGGGCACAACTCGTAGCAGCAAAATAATGTTTTTAAGTTCTGTCCAATTATCCACTAATCCTTAATTTCTATTTTCTCAACTTCATCTCTAAACACATCCCAAACGTGAGAAAGCTCGGATGATGCTTACACTGTCACATAGGAAAGGACAACTCACAAATTGTGAGCACTTTAATTACTGTAATCAACATCATACTTGCACTTGCTATTTTTACTTTCTGGGCGGAGGAAGGTTTTGGCTAAGGGAATGGGAGAGGCTGACTTGAGACTCCTGGACATCCTGGTTACACTCACAAGACTGTGTGTGTGTATGTTGTGAATGTATGTATGTAGATGTGTGTATGTGTGTGTATGTATGTATGTATGTGTGTATATGTGTGTGTGCGTGTGGATGTATGTGTGTATATGTGTGTGTATTGTGTGTATGTAGTATGTGCATATGTGCATGTGTGTATGTGTGTGCATGCGTATGTGTGTGTATGTGTGTGTTGTGTATATGTAGTGTGTGCATGTGTGTGTGTATGTGTGTATATGTGTGTGTATGCATATTTGTGTGTGTGTGTGTGTGAGTAAGTAATGGAATGAGATCTTGAGCTCATTTGCTCAAGCCAGGAAATGGGTAAAAGAGCAAGACTACACGTTAACATCTGGGTCTTCCTGAAGAACCTTGGGACAGGAGCTCCACGTGCTGGTGCCACCCTGCGCCAGCCAGCTCACACTTTCCATTCGGCCTGGGGAGCATCCCTTCCCTTCTTCTAGCAGGGCCCCAGCAGGGCCAGGCTGACCTTAGAGAAAATCCCATGTGCCCTGAGGCTCGCTAATGTCACCTCTCAGGCGCCTGTGCCCAGAGGGTCCTGTGCCTGGCCCTGGGCAGCCACGATTGCCTTTACTCCTTGTGACAAGCTGCCCGCAGAGTGGGCTTTTATCCCCTCTGTTGATGGCAAGTGACTTGCCTAGGCTGCCCAGCTAGATGCAGGCTCAGCTGGGACCCAGAACCTTTTCTCCTGCCCTACACTGCCTGGCTGAGGAAGGAACTCGCCCTCTGGAAGAGTATGAGAAGCCTAGGGTTATGTAGACCAACCCACTAGCCAACCAAAAGCTGAACATACTTGTTTTGGGCATTTCCGAATGTCCCAAAGGGGTCTCCGGCCATCCCGCCATCTCCGGTGAAGATGTAGAGGTACCCGTCATCCCCGAACAGCAGCTGACCCCCGTTGTGGTTTGAAGCTGGTTCTTTGACCTCCAGGAGTATCCTAAAGGAAGATAAGGGCCCCTAAAACTCAGCCTTCCACGCATGAGTCAAAAACACAAAACAAGATCACGGTCTCTCTTCACAATGGAAAAGACTTTTCTTTTCTTTCTTTCTCTCTTTTTTTTTTTTTTTTTTTTTTTTTTTTTTTTGAGACAGAGTCTTGCTCTGTTGCCCAGGCTGGAGCGCAGCTCGGCTTACTGCAACCTCCACCTCCCAGGTTCAAGCGATTCTCCAGGCTCAGCCTCCTGAGTAGCTGGGACCACAGGGGCCCGCCATCACGCCTGGCTAATTTTTGTGTTTTTAGTAGAGATGGGGCTTCACCATGTAGGCCAGGTTGGTCTCAACCTCCTGACCTCAAGTGATCTGCCCACCTCGGCCTCCCAAAGTGCTGGGATTACAGGCGTGAGCCACCATGCCCAGCCTGGAAAAGACTTTTCATATCCTTTATATTAAGTGATTTTCCACGAGGAGCTAGTAGGCAGAACGAGCAAAATTAATGCACTCTATAGTGCCAAGGAAGACCTAAAGGCTCAGAGAGGTTGAGCAACCTGTCTAAGGTCACACAGCCCATAGGTAGCAGAGCTGGGATTAGAACTCAAGTCTTCTAGTTCTGGTCTAGTGTTTTTTTTGGTTGTTGTTGTTTGTTTGTTTGTTTGTTTGTTTCTGCTCTCCACTGCTAGCACCTGCCCTGTTACGATTATGGGAAATTGTCGACCTAGTCACTGACACAGCTAGTTTCTTCCTCATCATAGCTTCCCCCACACTAGTTTACTTATTACTTATGTTGAGCACATCTTATGTACTCCCTCATTTGCAGCTTCTAACAGCGGGCAGGATGGTGTGCAGTGCACTCAGCGCCACACTCACTGTACTCAGGAACCTCCCTTACTGCCATTACAGGAAACCTACTACCATACTTCCCAGCCAGCTGACTTCCAGTTCGTGTTGGTGGGTGGAAGGGAGAGGCCAAGTTTCTTTGGCTTCTAACCCTGCCTCCAGAAGTGGTGGCTGTAGAGACAGCAGCGCTGGCTGGTGAACGTGGACCCCTGGGTTTCCACCCAGCCATCTTGGTACTAAGAGCAGCAAACTCCACAGCACAAAGGACTTTTTCCCTTCGTTCCTCCAACCCAAGAGTGGTAGCAGCTTCTTACAGTCACCAGTCTTTAAGTAACTTAACCTTCCTCCTCTCCTTCTCCAGCCCTCCCAATGCCTTAGTCATCCTTGTGTTCAGTTTCCCCTGACTGAAATACTCAGGGTGGTTTAGGTTTTCCAGGATTGGTCACTACTTTCTCAATCCCTTCTTTTTCTTTCTTTCTTTTTTGAGACTCTATCACCCAGGCCGGAGTGCAGTGATGTGGTCATAGCTCACTGCAGCCTCGAACTCCTGGGATCAAGAGATCTTCCTGCCCCAGCCTCCTGAGTAGCTGAGACTACAGGTGCATGCCACCATGCCCGGCTAATTTTTTAATTTTTTGTAGAGATGAGGGCTCTCACTGTGTTGCTCAGGCTGATCTTGAACTCCTGTCCTCAAGCGATCCTCCCTGCTTGGTCTCCCAAAGTACTGGGATTAGAGGTTTGAGTCACTGCACCCAGCCTATTAATCCCTTATCAATACAAATAAGAAAAAATTAGATACAGAAAGGTCAAGTAATTTGAACCCAGGACTTTGATTTTTCAGAGCCGAGACTGGAGGCCTTTTCTTTGTGAGGCCTGTGCATATGATCTGGTGAGCAATACAGAGCTCCAAAGCCCAGGTTCTCCACAGAGAGAACAGCTCAGGCTTTCAGTCATCCACCCGGTATTGGGATCCCAGGTCTGGGAAGAGACTGACAGTGGACAGCGGACTCAGGCTAGGATAACCACTCATTCCTGGCTGCCCTGAGCCTGCTGTGCCTACCTCTCTCCCCACGAGTGAGTCAAGTTCTAGGCTTGACTTTGTGAGGTCACCAGAGGACCTTTGCTGAGCCCCCACTCTGAAATATGTTCATCTATATATTTTGTGTTCCACCTCAAGTCTTTATCAGGAATCCATTTTTAAAAGTCTCACCACTGAAGACACATCCATTCTGTCCCTCCATCTCCTCTCTGTCAGGTCCGTGTGATAAACTTGGTCTCTCTTGGAGAACTGGCTGTACAGGCTCCTGTAAGATCCTGAGAATTATGTTTCCTCCTTTCACTCTGGCTGCCAGGAAGCTCATAGTCAAAACTAATGCTGTGAATCATGAAGATTCACATTAGCCTTCATAGCTAACATATTTGATTTCTCCTCCTTTTTATACATTCAGTGTCAAGATTTTACAGTTTTATCAAACACACAATGTGCTGTTCTTTGCTAATTTGCCCTCAGACCCAGTCCTGGCCCTCCCCCTACCTCCTCTCTCTCTACTGCAGGGGGTCAGCTCCTGTGAACGACATTTCCCAGGCTTCGTAGCTAGCTGGCCTCCAGCGAGGTCAGCCAGTGGATAGCATTGGCAGGAGCCTGGAGAGGGAGGAGCACTTCTCTGCTTTAAGCAGCTTCTTGGCAGCCGCTGCTCCTCCCTGGCTCCACCTCCTCCTGCCCAGGCCAATTATGGTTCCAGCTTCCACCGGGTATCCCCAGCTCCAGGGTCCCAATAACCCCATCTTCTCACTTTGTCTTCCCCGTCCAAGGGGTGGAAGCAACTTCCTCCAGTTGCTGACCTCAGAGTCGCTGCCTTCCCCAGGTTGCCCCCCGCCCCCGCTTTTTTTTTGAGACAGAGTCTTGCTCTGTCATCCAGGCTGCAGTGCAGTGGCAGGATCTTGGTTCACTGCAACCTCTGCCTCCCAGGTTCAAGCAATTCTCCTGCCTCAGCCTCCCAGGTAGCTGGGATTACAGATAGACACTACCACACCCAGCTAGTTTTTGTGTTTTCAGTAAAGACGGGGTTTCGCCATGTTGGCCAGGCTGGTCTTGAACTCTTGACCTCAAGTGATCTGCCTACCACAGCCTCTCAAAGTCCTGAAATTACAGGCACGAGCCACCACGTCTGAGCCCTTTCATCATTTCTAAAACCCGAGTAACTGACTCCCAGGATCAAATTCTACCTACTGAGTTACCTGATACAGGGTTTATTTCCTACTGAACTCAGACTGATATGTGTGCCCCACGTGCGAGGTCAGGTCAGACCTATTTTGAAAACAGTTGGGGCATAAATCCTCCACAGGGCACAGGCTCTGCAGGTGTTGTTGAGGGGAGCAGAAGCCCGGAGGAGGAACAGAAGAATTTAGGGGCAGGAAGGAGAGCAAGTTCTCTGGGGCAGCGGATTCGGGTGGGAAAAAGGAGCCAGTAGGGCTCAAGAATGGAACCTTCGGCCGAGGCGGGCAGATTGCCTGAGTTCAGGAGTTCAAGACCAGCCTGGGCAACACAGTGAAACTCCGTCTCCACTGAAATAGAAAAAATTAGCCAGGCATGGTGGCACGTGCCTGTAGTCTCAGTTACTGGGGAGGTTGAGGCAGGAGAATTGTTTGAACCCGGGAGGTGGAGGTTGCAGTGAGCAGAGATTGCACCACTGCACTCCAGCCTGGGCAACAGAGCGAAAAAAAAAAAAAAAAAAAAAAAGAATGGCACCTTCAGGCCAGAGCGAGGCAGGCTGAGGCAGACGGCAGAGGGTGGGCTTTGGAGACAACAGATCAGGCTCCCAACTCTGACGCTCCCTCCCCGTGTGACCCAACACTTCACCTCTCTAAGCCTCCACTTGCTCATCTGTAAAATCGGAAAAATAATACTAGCCTCAGTGGGTTTTAGGAGAATCAAATGAAATGAAGTGCCTGAAACAAAAGAGCTGGTGGAGAAATGTCGGGCCTCGCAGGCCAGATGGAGGGGTTTGGATATGATCCCCGTGTGAGGTCTGTTCTGCAAAACTGTCCTTCCCCAGGCCCCAAAGCATGAAATTCAGCACCCCTACCAGGTGTGTTAAATATTCACAGTATTTGAGAACAGGATACCAACTGGTGCAGTCACACCAGTGCATATGGGTACCTGCCCCCACCCAGGCCCGGGTTCCCCAAGGAAGCCACCTCTCAGAGCTGTGGTCCACGGCGTTCTCGTCATCCTCAGAGACCCTGAACTCGCTGATGCGGATCCACTCACTGGTGCGGATACCCACTGAGTAGTAGACGTAGAGCCTGCGGTTGTGCCGGAAGCTGGGGTGAAAGGCAATGCCCAGGAAGCCACGCTCGTCACCCTGCCAGGGCGAGGTGAGCACCGCCCAGCTGATGTTCAGGAAAGGCTTCTCCAGCCTCGAGCGGTCGGGCAGGTAGGCCCACACCAGCCCCACCTGCTCGGCCACGAAGAAGCGGTGGGTGCCATCCCTGGCATGGACCATGGCCACGGGGTTGCGCAGCCCGTTGGCCACCTCCTCCAGGCACAGCTGCAGGCAGCCCTTGGCATCAGCCACCACATGGCCCAGGTTTGAGTTGAGGTTCTTGTTGACCAGCAGGTAAGGGAAGCAGTAGTCCGTGTCATCCAGGGACAGGTAGCGGCAGAACCTGGCACGGTTGCCCTCCAGCGCCCGGAGCTCCTGGTCAGTTGAGAGATGATGGAACAGCCCCCGGCACTTATGCCACATGTCCAGGCAGTAGTCCTGGCAGAGCCCGGGCACCGTGCGCAGGGGTGTGAACGGGTCCTCGGCGTCATAGAGGTGGGCTGCATACGGAGAGCATTCCTGCAGAGACAGCGATGGCTCAGAGATGCTTCGTGGAGGTGCTTACCAGCTGTGTAACCTTGGGCGGGTCCCCCATCTCGCAGAGCTTCAGTCTGCTGATCCATAAAATGGAGACAATGCCATCTGTCTGTTACCATGATAAGCCTCAGTGACGGTAGCAAACCTTAGGTCTCAATGTTTGTGTTGTTCTGTTAGAACACAGAACAACACTATTCCTACTCCTATTAATAGCAGCAGCAACAGCAGCAGCTACTCTGGAGCACCCGCCGTATGCCAGGAAGAGTCTGAGGCACTGCCACCCATCCTCTCCATGTTAACAGTGCACCTGCGCCCCTACACCAGCACAGCCCACTGCTGCACTTAACTTGGGTTCCTGCCCAAGGCTCACCCCCGATCCTCCCTGACCACCCTGTCCGCACCCTCTAGTACCTTCTGGCCTCTATCTGTTGAAAACCAGTAAAATACCAAGTGCTCTCTGACTTGCCTCTGCCCATGGACAGCTCCACCATCAGCTCCTGCCTCTCTCCACCTCTCCAGCCTCCTGTCTACCTTCCATCTCCTGATATTCTGATATGGCTTGGATCTGTGTCCCCGCCCAAATCTCATGTAGAATTGTAACCCCCAGTGTTGGAGGAGGAACCTGGTGGGAGGTGACTGGATCACAGGGGTGGAGTTCTTACACATGGTTTAGTTTAGCACCATCCCCCCTTGGTACTGTAGAGTGAGTGAGTTCTTATGAGATTTGGTTTTTTAAAATGAGCCCCCGCCCGGCCACCATATCTCTCTTGCTCCCGCTGTCGTCATGGGACATGCCCGCTTCCCCTTTGCTTTCTATCATGATTGTAAGTTTCCTGAGAACTCCCCAAAACAGAGGCCACTATACTTCCTATACATCCTGCAGAACTGTGAGCCAATTAAAACTCTTTTCTTTATAAATTACCCAGTTTTGTTTTGTTTTGTTTTGTTTGTTCATTTGTTTTTTTAAGACAGGGTCTCTCTCTCTCTCTCTCTCTCTCTCTCTCTCTCTGTCACCAAGGCTGGAATACAGTGGCACCATCTCAGCTCACTGCAACCTCTGCCTCCTGGGCTCAAGAGATGCTCCTGCCTCAGCCTCCTGAGTAGCTGGGACTACAGGCGAGAGCCACCACACCTAGTTAATTTTTTTATTTTTTGTAGGGATGAGGTTTTGCCATGTTGCCCAGGCTGCTCTCGAACTCCTGAGCTCAAGCCATCTTCCCGCTTCAGCCTCCCATAGTGCTGAGATTACAGGTGTGAGCAACTGCACCCAGCCATGTATTTCTTTATAGCAGTGAGATAAGAGACTAATACTCACTCCCTGTCATTTCATACCTCTGAGCCTCAGCACAGGCTGTCCCCTTTGCAGGTATGCCCTTCCCCTACTCTTCTCTGGCGGGCAGAATTCTCTTTATTCTTAAATCATGACCATGACCATGGGAGAAAGAGTGCTAACCAATCACAGCAGTTCCTGGGGTTTGGGGCAGATTGTGGGCCAGGCACTAGGTCAGTGAGCCCGTGCATCTGCATTTCCTCCTCAAGGCAACCACAGGAGGGAGGCCTGTTCTTCTTACCACTGCACAGAGGTGGAAGCAGACAACAGAAGGGAGCCACTAGCCCAAGGTATCATGTCACATGCTGATGGGCTGGGGTTGGAGCCATGTCTGCTCAGCTCGACCTGCCAGCTCCCTACTACCCATCCCCAAACGCCAGTTAAGTGTCCCCACACCACTGCACCCTCTCTGGACCCTATCCCTACCCAGAGCAGAGGCCACAGCTCCAGGCTGTCTGCAGGCCTTCCTGTTAGAGCCGCCGGCTTGTGGCGTGGTCATTCTTTCTATCTGTGGCTGACACCCTCCCCCACCTGTGAGTCCGCCAGGCCAAGGCCGGGTCTGAGTCAGCTCTGGGCCCCCCAGAGGCTTCGGGGGATGCTCCTTCTGCAGTGGGGAGGTGCTGACAGTCACGTACTCCCTCCCCTCACAGGGAGGACCAGGCTGGCTTCCAGCAGGAGGCCTCTGGGATGTCTGGGGGAGGACTGGGCATGGGGGATGGCAGGCTGCCTCCCAGTGTGTTCTCAAGTCCCAGGCCAGGGCCCACTCACTCCTGTGACATGATTGTGGCTTTTGTTCATGCCACAGCCTGTCCTTCTGGCCCCTCTACTGCTGTGAGGCCAGGTCTCACCTGACAGGCCAAAGGCCACTTGGCAGAATGTCTTGAGGTCCTGGTCAGTTACTGTCCCAGGTACAGACCAGGGTGCCATGTCTTACATGCTCCCCTCTGCCAACGAGCCGGCCAGATGGCCAGGCCTCGGGCCGCCGTGTCTGCTGTCCCTCCCATGGTTCCCCGGGAACCGCCTGTGGGTCAGCCGGCAGCTGCACACGGACCAGGGAGGGGCTGTGTGCACACGTGCCTTCTTTCATCTTTGCAAGGTAGGGTCATTGTCACTATTTTATTTTGTTTTATTTGTTTATTTATTTTTTGAGACAGGGCCTCTCTCTGTCTCCTGGGCTGGAGTGCAGTGGCACAATCCTAGTTCACCGTAGCCCTGACCTCCTTCGCTCAAACGATCATCCCCACCTTGGCCTCCAGAGTCGCTGGAACCACAGACGGGCTCCACCACACCCGGCTAACTTTCATTTTTATTTTTTGCAGAGACAGGGTCTCCCTATGTTTCCCAGGCTTGTCTTGAACTCCTGCACTCAAGCGATCCTCCTGCCTCAGCCCGCCAAAGTTCTGGGATTACAGGCATGAGCCACCGCACATGGCTTGACTCCTATTTTACAGATGAGGAACTGAGGCTTAAAGAAGGCCACGTGCCAAGAAGTAGCCAAACCTGGGCTCACACCCAAGCCTCATGATGCCTGGACTGGTGTTCTTTCCAGATTAGTCAGCAACATTTCATTCACCAAGAATTTACTGAGCAGAGATTGTGGCAGGCACATCTTGGTTCCAGAGACACAGTGAGGGGCAGAATAGACATCTGGAAGGCAACAAGAGCCCTCCATTCACCAAAGCTCAGTCCAGAACTACAGAGGGAGCAAAAGTTCCCTCAGGGAGCCAGGCCAAAGACTTCGGCATCCACACGTCCCAATCACACAGCAGACACTTCCTCGTGGCCTATGTACTCTTACTTACACACAATGTAATATGGTGCCCAGACCAGGGTAGTCCAGAACCAGGAAGCGACAAGAGTGATTGCTACTGGCAAGAGGATGATCTGCAGCTTGGCCTCAGCGTGTTTGGGGGCAAGTGGCAGGAAGCCCACAGCAAACCAGCCCAGTATTGCACGCTACAGCTGCCTGGGCCATTCAGTGCAGGGCAGAGAGCCCCCATCTTGCCCAGAGTTTGCCATCCCATGTCACTGACACTCGTGACTTATGGCTCTGGGTCCTGAAGGTTTCTTATGTCCACCATTCATTTTTTGAAAGACCAAGCCTTTGCGCACAGTGTCCTGTCCATCAGATATTCGCTCCTCACCTACTTCCTCCTCTGCAAACTGCTATTCATGACTCAAGGCCGACTCAAAGGTCTCCTCTTGTCCTCCATGCTCCTAGGGCCCTGAATGGCCCATCCCTGGCCCTTACGGATGCTCCCAATGCACTCTGTCCATATCTCAGGCATGACACTCACTCCATGGAATCTTGTAGCTTACAGGGTGAGTTCTCTACAGCAGTCACTGCTCCACCGCCAGGGGCGCTCCAGTCAGTCGGCTTGGCTAGGATTTCATTATCTCTTTGCTTGTCTGTCCACTCTATGGACTGTGGGACACAGTGGGGCTTCAAGGAGGGAGGCAGTGTGGCGAAGCGGTTAGGAGAAGGGTTTTGGAGCCAGAGCATACATTCCCCATGGGGAATGCTCCTTAACCTCTCTGTGCCTATGTCCTCATCTATAGAACGATGCTCCTTAACCTCTCTGTGCCTATGTCCTCATCTATAGAACGGGAAAGGAGTTCCAACCTCTTAGAATTGTTGGGAGGAATAAATGGAGAAGACGCGTGTGTTTGTTCAGTAAATATGAGCTATCAGCATGCAACCAACATTCAGGAAGCCTTCCCTGAGGTATGTGGCCTTGTTCCTACACTCCTTGAGGAATCTCTGGCACCTTCCTGTGTGTGTCAGTCTCCTGAAGTGACGAAGGGGACTTTTGAGACTGGGCCTGTGACTTGCCAACTGCTTTTGGGCCCAGCATCGAGCACAGGGCTGACTCCTAACAGGCTCAGGAAGAGCCTGCTGAATACACGAGCCCGTAGGGCACATTTCACGGAGATCTCCATCAGAAACCATGCTTTGATGATCTCAGTGGCTTTGAGCGGCAACCCCAGTCACAGGGGTGGTTACTGATGTGGAAGCTCACACCAGATGCACTGGGGGTGCCACGCGCCATGGCTGTCCTCTCTCCTCCAGAGGACACAGGCACTTACTGGACAAGCAAAGCCCCAGGAAAGAGTCTCCCATCTCCCCAAAGCAGGTGTGAAGGCCTGAGTGCCTCCACACTGACAGACATCTATAAATAAGGCACCTCCATCACCTCCCCATGTGGAAATTAGGAGGTGCCAAATGCAGACTCCGCCTTGGCTAGCAGAGAGCACGGTCCTCCCACCAGGGTACTCCAGGAGGCCCCGTCAGTGAAACTGTAACCCAGCCTCAGCCGCTGTCTCTAAGCTCACTCCAGACATGAGGTCACTCTCAGAGACGCCTGGGCTGAAGTGTTAGCAGTCACTTCACTGCTGGTTGCTTAAGGCCAGGCTGTCCTGGGAAGGTTCCCAAGAAAAGAGAGGTGCCCTGCCAGGGAACAGCATCAGGACCGACCCTTCCCTTCCTCCATCCACCTGCCCCCCTCACTGCCCTGCTGAGTCAGGCACATAGCGAGTGCCTCATAGACAAATGTGGCATGGATGCAGGAACTCTGCTATGTGACAGGGGTGGGGAGACCAAAGGACCTGGTCCTGAGGAGCCCCCAGGCTGCTGAGGGAGGCAGATGCTTGGCCAGACCATTCCCATGCCCTTGAGGCACACAGCATGGGAGTCCAGCAGAGCCCACCTAAAGGTGGCCAGCCCACCCTTTGTTGCATTCTGGAGCTCCCAAGGGCCCCCTCCTCATCCTCCCAGAGCCTACTGCTTCCCACCTAGATATGTGTTCACATTAGTGAGTGTGGTCCATGTCCCCACCTCAACCACCGCTGAGCTGTGTGACCACTGGGCAAGTCCCTGCCTCCCTCTGAGTCTTCCTTGAATCGGGCTCCGAGCCTCACCTGGACCCTTCCCAGGGCTGGGCAGCCAGTGAGGGCCAAGGAAACCCTTGAGAAATCCAACTGCAAACATTTACTGAGCCCTTAGTATGTGGCATTTAATCTGCATGGCAACCCAGGGGGTGGTTAAGGTTTTATTTTATATATTATATTATATTATATTATATTATATTATATTATATTATACTATATTTTTGAGATGGAGTCTTGCTCTGTTGCCCAGGCTGGGGTGCAATGGCTCGATCTTGGCTCACTGCAACCTCTGCCTCCCAGAGTCAAGTGATTCTCCTGCCTCAGCCTCCCGAATAGCTGGGATTACAGGCGTTCCCCAACATGCCCAGTTAATTTATATATTTTTGTAGAGATGGAGTTTCTCCATGTTGGCCAGGCTGGTCTCGAACTCCTGACCTCAAGTGATCTGCCCACCTCCGCCTCCCAAAGGGCTGGGATTACAGGAGTCAGCCACCGCACCCAGCTTCATTTTAAAGACACTGTGAGGTGCAGCAGTGACCTGCCCAGGTCACGAAGCTGGGGAAGTGACAGAGCCAGGATCAAACTCCAACTCCAAGTCAGCCCTCTTGTCCTTCCCCACACCAACTGCCCCTGCTGGCCGAAGGCTGGGACACAGCCCTGCCCACTGGGGCCTCTCCAACCCAGGCCTCTCACTGGCCAGATGCTGGGGCAGGAATGCCTTGTCCTGCCCCATTTCTGCATTCAGCCAGGCAGCATTTGCCCACCTGGGTGTGGTCAGGCACTGGGGCCTCAGACTGCCACAAGAGGAAAACAAACAGCGGTGGCACCGCAAGGTGTGCACAGAAGCGGGGGCTCCACCCTCAGAGGGAAGATGGGGGGCCCAGGAACTTCAACACATAGCTGTTGCTCATTCCTGAGTGAGCTTCTGCCAGGCCAGGGCGCCATCCCCAGGAGAGGACACAGCACCCACAGAGGTGATGGCGGAAGTGGCAAGGGCATCAGGATGGGGGTGGGACTCTCGTGGGGGGCAGTGGCCCCAACCCCCGCAACAACCCCTGGCCACACGTTGACCACGCCCACGGCAGGGCCCCCTGCTTTCACTGCCCCGGGGACAACACAGACACAGAGGAGCACTGACCGGGACAGATGCCTCTCCACCTTGGTACCCCAACAAGGGTGCAGCTGCTTGGGGTAGGACGCTGGGGGCTCGACTCAAGGGGACCGGGACAGAGGAGCCCCCAGCCTCTGAGGAAATGATGACATCATCTGTCCGTCCCTCCTGCTTCAGGAGGGGAAACTGAGGCACCAAGAAGGCCCAAGTCACAAAACGAATGAATGGCAAAGCCAAGAGTCGCCCTGGGATGCGCGGTCTCCCCGCCCCGTGCCAAATGACTCCCTTTTGGGGCCTAGAGTTCGCCGCCCACTCTTGGCCTTCGCCCCCGCGGGGTTCCGATCTCTGCTCCAGGACCCGGCCGCCCGCGCCCCGCCCCTCCCAGTGGCCGCGCGCCCGCTTACCTGGCACAGCAGGTCCCTCGCGTAGCCGGCGCACGCGGCCCACTCGGCGGCGTCCACGCGGCTCTCCAGGTCCCAGAAGCGGCGGGTCAGTTCGGCGTCGCGCCCTTCATCGCAGCAGCCGAAGTCCGAATACTGCGCGCAGAGGCGCAGCAGCTGCGGCGGCCGGAAGGGCGGCCTGAAGTCCAGGCACTGCGGATGCGCTGCGGCCCCGAGCACCCAAAGCGCCAGCAGCGCCCCGGCCCGAGCCATCGCTTCGCCCCGCGGGGGAAGAGGCGGAGGGACGGCAGCCCGAGTCCCCTCCCGGGACGCTCACAGCGGCGGGGAAGGGGCGGGCGCTCCCCTCCCCTACACGCAGGGCCTCGAGTTTGGGGACCTCCCCTTCTAGGAGGCCACCTCTGGTCGGGGACATGCGGCGGGACTGAAGGAAGAGGGACGCGGCGCAGAATGCGGTACGACCTCTTTTAACCGCTTTCCCAATTCAGTGGGAGTGGCCGGGTTTGTAGAAAGTCCCGGTGTGTTTTCCCGGTTCCGCCTGGGGCCCTGCTTCCTCCCCACAGGGCGCTATTTAGCCAGGGAGGCGCAGGGCCAGAGGGCTGGACTTCTGGGCTCCGGTTCCACCACCCACTGGGCTAGGGGAAGGGATGCCCGCAGCCGGTCCCCGAAAGCTCTCACGTAAGTTTAAAAATGGGGGCGCGAGGGAAAGGACAGAGGGTGTTGCCCCAGGACTCTCAGGGAGAAGCGAAACCTGGCCTAGGGGTGGGGAGGGGGGACAGAGCAGCTACCGCAGTCCACCCTTTGCCCTTACTGTGTACTTCTTCCCAGTCTCTGCTCCTGGGGCGACGGATTCTCCTGCAGCCCAGGACCCACTGGGGCTTCCCACTTCCACTCTCGCATAGGGAGCACTGATGAGTCTACCCCCTGGGGTGGGCATCTAGCCCTTTGTTCTGCTGCCCCTGCTGAAGATTCAGACCCAACCCCGCCCCACCCCACAACACACACATACAGACGCGCACACACAGCCTCACCTACCCCAGAATCTCACAGCACCAAAACCACCCAGGCATTTTCTCAAGCGGACCTCAGCATTCGCTCCTCCCTGGAGTGTCCTTCCCCATCTTCTCTGTCCAGTGAGCTCCTACTCCATCTTCATGGCCCCAACGCACACATCCGTCCTCTGCAGGTCTCTTTGGACTGTCCTGGGGGACCGTGTTTCTGTCTTTGGGCTCGTGCTCCTGGCAGAGCTGGGGGTGGATTAGATGCAGCAGGGCTGGAGCACTCAGAGGTCTGTGGCTCTGGCCTGAACAGGTACAATGTAAGAGTCAGTGTCTCTGCTCGAGACCAAACATCTCTTGAGTATTTGAAACACAGGAAATGTAATGCAGGGACTTGAAGTCAAAGAGGCTAAGAAGCCATACAGGGCTCAGTGAAGTAACCTTGAGCTCAGCAACGGTAGGAACAGTCCCCAGGTCCTTGATGCAGGGAGAGCAAATGTTACTGGAGCCAAGGAGCTATGGTCACCTTGTAAAAGCTGGACCCTCACAAGACCTGTCTGGCCAGAGCTGGAGATAGCCACCATCAGAGATTCTGCACAGAGAGAGCGGGAGAAGTACCTCAGCTTTGCCCTGCCACCTCCCCTCCAACTCTCACCTGTGACTTTCATTGGCTGAACCTAGCAGAGGGCTGCTAGGGTGGGAAATGCGGACTGCAGGGGCTCCCTGCATAGAGGGCAGGGCACAGGCAGAGCCAGGATGGAGTCGGAGGGCACACAGGCCGAGGGAGGGCATCTACGATGGCCCCTACTTCCCAGCTGGGACTCAGAACTGGGTGATAGTCACACATCAACACAGGGCTCCAGATGGGTGTACAGAGGTGGCAGTGGCACAGAGCCTGGGCCATAGCCATGAGGTCTGGACTCCGACAGCCACAGAAAACGTCAAACACAGCCCAGCCGCAGCCAGAGTAACATAAATTCTCACCCTAAGACCTATTTATCTCAGTTCCTGTTATCTAGTATACCCTGACTGACTTTCCAGAAAAACAAGGCATGAAAAAAGATAAGAAAAGTCAGTCAGGGGCCAGGCACAGTGGCTCACGCCTGTAATCCCAGAACTTTGGGAGGCTGAGGCGAGCGGATCACCTAAGGTCAGGAGTTCGAGACCAGCCTGGCCAACATGGTGAAACCCCGTCTCTACTAAAAATACAAAAGTTAGCCTGGCGTGGTCGTACACGCCTGTAATCCCAGCTACTGGGAGGCTGAGGCATGAGAATTGCTTGAACCCAGGAGGCGGAGTTTGCAGTGAGCGGAGATCGTGCCATTGCACTCCGGCCTGGTCGACAGAGCAAGACTCTGTCTCAAAAAAGAAAAAAAAAGAAAAAAAAAAAAAGAAAAGTCAGAAGGAGCATCAGAGCCAGCCTCGGACATGACACAGACGCTGAAATTACCAGACGTGGAATTTAAAATAACTATGACTAATATGTTATGGGCTCTGGTGGGAAAAGTTGACAACATCAAGACCAAACGTCTCTGAGTATTGACAAGGACATTGCAAGGACAAATGGGCAATAGAAGCAGAGAGGGATCCACCTTAAGAAAGAAAATTAAGGCCGGGCGCAGTGCGTTATGCCTGTAATCCCAGCACTTTGGGAGGCCAAGATGGGTGGATCACAAGGTCAGGAGATCGAGACCATCCTGGCTAACATGGACAAACCCCGTCTCTACTAAAAATACAAAAATTAGGCAGGTGTGGTGGTGGGTGCCTGTAATCCCAGCTACTTGGGAGGCTGAGGCAGGAGAATCACTTGAACCCAGGAGCAGAGGTTGCAGTGAGCTGAGATCACACTAGCCTGGGCCGCAGAGCAAGACTCGGTCTCAAAAAAAAAAAAAAAGGCTAAGAATTTTCTGAAATTCATGACAGATACAAAACAACAGATCCAAGAATCTAAGAGGCATAAAGCAGGATAAATACCAAAAAATCGATAGCGAGGCATATCCTATGCAAACTACAGACAACCAAAGATGAAGAAAAACCTTGAGAGAAGCCAGAGGGGAAAAAATACCTTACCTATGGAAGAACAAGGAGAAAAATTACAGCAAACATTATTAGAGACCAGGCAAGCAGGCCGGGCGCGGTGGCTCACGCCTGTAATCCCAGAACTTTGGGAGGCTGAGGCAGGTGGATCACCTGAAGTCAAGAGGTCAAGACCAGCATGGCCAACATTGTGAAACCCCCGCTCTACAAAAATACAAAAAATTAGCCAGGCATGGTGGTGGGCACCTCTAACCCCAGCTACTTGGAAGGCTAAAGCAGGAAAATTGCTTGAACCTAGGAGGCGGACGTTGCAGTGAGCCGGGATCTCACCATTGCTCTCCAGCCGGGGCGACAGAACAAAAGAAAAAGAAAGAAAGAGAGAAAGCGAGAGAGAGAGAGAGAGAGAGAGAAAGAAACCAGGCAGCCAAGAGAGAGTAGAGTGAAATATATAAAGTGGTAAAAGAAAAAAATTAAGGGCCGGGCGCGGTGGCTCAAGCCTGTAATCCCAGCACTTTGGGAGGCCGAGACGGGCAGATCACGAGGTCAGGAGATCGAGACCATCCT